GGGGCGCGCCCCCGCTCGGCCCCTCTGTGAAAGTTGGGAGCTGACGTGGGAGGGGCTCCCACCCGGTTGAGGTAGCCCGCTTTCCCCCGTAGAGGGACTTCCTGGGCAAAAGCCCTGTCGTGAGTCCCCGTGTGTTCTCTGGGCAGGTGGTGGAGAAGACCAATCCCATGGAGCCGGTGGGTGTGGTGTGCAGCGTGGATGGCACGTACCAGGTGGTGGAGTACAGCGAGATCTCGTTGGCCACAGCACAGAAACGCAGCCCTGATGGCCGGCTGCTCTTCAACGCAGGCAACATTGCCAATCACTACCTCACCGTGCCCTTTCTGAGAGACGTGGTCAAGTACGGGCCAGCTGGGGCCGGGGCCGGGCGCTAATGCGGGGCCAGAGAGAAGCACTTGCACTTGGAAATCAAGCCTCACCCCGGTGCAATCAGGCAAAAGCTCTTGGGCAGCATCTCACTTTCTCTTAAGCACTCCAGGGGTGGCAGCTTTCCCATGGGGCTGGGGCCAGCGTGTCTCCTGCACTAGCCCCTTCCTTCACAGCTAGCTCCCTGTGCAGCAGCCCAGGTGGCTGGCAGGTCTGGCCAGAAGGAGGCTGCTCTGAGCTCTGTGGTGCCTTCAGAGAGTAGCATGGCCCTGGCTGTACAAGCTAGGCAAAGTGCCCTGCGGACATCGCGCTTGCAGCCAGCCAAGCGGCAGGGGGGGAAAGGGTTAACGCACACACACACTGGCTAATATTGCCCTGTTCCTCCTGTGACTAGCTGCTGGGGCTGCGAATGTGTGAACTGGGACAGTCACTGGTGGGTAAATGTGGAAACAAACCAAAACCTGCTTCTGGAAACTAACCTCTGATCAGCAAGGGCTGAAACCCCACTGGGCTGTCTAGAAGGTTAGTAAGAGGCACCAGGATGCACATGTGCAGCCAACAAAGCACGGGGCCGGGGCCAGGATCTGGCCCTGCACAGATCCACTAGGAGCATCGCGTGCTCAGCATCGGGCGGGGAGATCAGCATCCTGCTTCATCCCCTCCTTGTGCTCTGCTCTGCTTGCTCTCCCGCCTCCCAGCAGAAGGTGGAAGCCTGGGAGCACCTGGGCTTGCTGCACTGCAGCAGGCCAACCCGCCGAGGGGGTGGGGGCCTGCCGGCGCCCCAGAAGCAAGGGAAAAGTGGTTTGATCCAGAGGGCATTCAGGGGTCAGTGGGATTTCGTGTCTTGTGCTCTGGCTGTAGGGTAAGCAACGTGCCCAGGGCTGGGGGCCAAACGAGAAGGCAGCTGGGAGGACGAGGGAGCCCCGCTCACTCCGGGCCGCTCCTGGGTTGGATTGGCAGCGTCTAGAACGGGCCTGCCGACCATAGCGGTACTGACGCCTCTTTCTTGCCCTGGCAGCATTTACGAGCCTCAGCTGAAGCACCACGTGGCCCAGAAGAAGATTCCGTACGTGGACCTCAGCAGTGGGCAGCAGGTCAAGCCAGACAAACCGAACGGCATCAAGATGGAGAAGTTTGTCTTTGACATCTTCCCGTTTGCCAAGTACGCCAGGCTCTTCTGCTCGCCAGGCAGACGGTAGAGCTCTGCTGCAGCCTGTCCCCGGGGCTGCCAGGGAGGCGCTGGGCGTGCCCGGTGCTGGGATGCTCTGAGCCAGGCGGTGAGCCCGGCCGTCTCCCAACAAGGCCAGCCCAGCGTGGGGTTCCAGTGCATACTGTGTAGGGTCCGCGCGGCCGCACGCGGGGGCCTGGCTCTCCACACGGCGGCAGGGAGAGCTGGCTGCTACGGATAATGGACTCTGGGTCCGGGTCCCCAGGTGGCACCCTCTGTGAAGGAAGCAGCACGACAGGGTGGGGAAGTTCTTTGCTTCCTGCTCCACCCCCACATGGTTTCCCATTGTGGGCTGCCGTCACGCCCTGCCACAGGTCGCCACTACCAAACCGTACAACGTGGGGGGGGCGTTTTCCTGGAATTGGGGTGAGAAACCTCTAGCTCCCTCTGGTGCCATCTCAGTCCCCCTTCCTCTGGGGACGACTTGAGTCCTGAGCTCTCATCTGAGCAGAGCGTCTCTGGGCTGCCAGCAGCAAGGAGAATGCGTTGAATTCCCACCCCGAGGGCAGGGGACACGGTGTGGCCCAGGGCTGCAAGGCCCAGGTCCCTAAGGACTTCCAGGTCTGAGTGGGTCAGTGCCTCGGCCCAGAGGAGCCAGTTGTGACGCCCTGGCATTAGCTGTGCTGCTGGTAGCCGAGCTCTCGGGGGCACTGAGCGGTTCCTGCCTTGCCCCGCTGCAGGCGGTTTGTGGTGTACGAAGTGCTGCGTGAAGACGAGTTCTCCCCGCTGAAGAATGCAGACAGTCAGAACGGGAAGGACAATCCCACCACAGCCCGACACGCCCTCATGTCGCTGCACCACTGCTGGGTCCTCAATGCCGGGGGCCACTTTGTGGATGAAAATGGCACCCGCATCCCTGCGATTCCCCGGTAAGCGGCCCCACCCTGACTCCTTGGCCATCTGGGGGGCTGGTGGGAGCGCAGACGTCTGGCTCTGTGTGGGACCTCGCTGGGCAGCGTGGGAGCTGCATTGCCTGGTCTATCGAGGAGCACTCCCCTGCCCTCCGGAGTTCGAGGGGCAGTGTGGAGAGCCTGGGCCGCCGGCGCTCTAGTCCTTTCTGAGCAGGGCACACTGGATGCAGAGCAGGCACAGAGTTCCCTGCTGCTGGGCAGCCATTCAGAGTTCCTGCGCAGGCCTGGTCTCGGGCGCTGTTTGCTAGCTGCCGCCAGTGGAGCTTTGCCCTGGGTGGAGTTGCAGCCTGCAGAGATCAGGCGCGTATGCCAGTCCCTGGGGCTGAGCTCTGCCGGGCCAGTAGCTGCACACGGCGTGGCTGGGGCCAGCTGCCTTCCCCTGCCTCCGTGAAGCGGTTCCTAGAGTTCACCACCATGCAGCCCAGCCCGAGGACCGGTGGTAGAGCTCTAATGGATGCTCTGGGCTGCAGGCCTTCCCTCTCACCAGCTCCACCGGGGCCCGAGGAAGAGTATGAAGAGCAGCTCTGTCTCCTGGCTTGGTCTGGTTCCAGCTCCGTTTGCTTCGGTCCTCATTAACCCTTATTTGTTCCCACACAACAGCATGACACGTGGAAGGCCAGATGCCATCCCAGCCGATGCCCGTTGCAAGTAAATATCTGGTGCCAGGCTGTGTGCCATGCGTGGTGATGGGGCTCTGCTTAGGTACTAACGGGCTCTGCATTTCACTGCAAGGCCAGGTGCCTGGGGAGCCGCGGTTCGCTCCTGCTCTCTGGCCTCTGGATGGGAGCTACTAACAGAATGGCAGTGAGGGTGCATGCTGGGAAACAGGGAGCATGCCCTGCTAAGGATTCCTGTGGCTGCTGCTTCTCCTGGCCACTAGATGCAAAGTGCAATGATTTCTGATATTCCAGGTCGTCTTGCGTGTCCAGGCCTGTGTGTGTTCATTCCGCCTGCTCCTCTGAGTGCTGTAACTCCAGGCAGAACTTAGCTGCATTTGCTGATGTGCAGGAGCCAGGAAAGTCTCCAGCTCCCTTTTGTGGCTGCGCTCTCTCTTGCGTGGACCTGAGTCTGGTGCACACTGGGAACAGGCGAGAGAACACACCCTGGAAACGGGTGTAGGAGCCCTTCAGGTCCTTACAAAGCAGGTGGGGGCTGGTTGTGGCCCCCTGTCAGTGTTCCTCCAGCACCATTGACTGGCTCAGGCTGCGTCTACCATGTCGAGTTTTTTCCGAAAAAACTTCACTGGTGTCCACACTGCAACTGCATTCTTTTGAAAAACCATGGAAAGAGCAGAGGGGGTTTTCCGACACTGGTAAGCCTCTTTCCACGAGGAAGATGCCTTTTTGCGAAAGCTCTGTTGGAAAATGTCGGGTGTGGACGGGGAAGAGGGAGCTCTTCGAAAGAAGAGGAAACAGCCTGGTGGCCACTCCGTCCATAGCAATCACAGCTTTCACGTGAGACAGCGTCCCCACTGAACGGAGGCTCTTTCGATGCACTTGGGCAGTGTGGACACTCTATAGGAAGAAGTATTTTCAGAAGATCTCTTCCGACAGAAGCCTGCAGTCAAGCTTGCTGGCATTTGAACTCGGACTCGCAGGGTATGTCTAGACTGTCGGCAGGTCAGCATTGCAAATGAGGCAGGGATTTAAATATCCCACACCTAATTTGCATACATTTGTCGGCAAAAAGCAGCAGTCTAGAGGGGGATCTGTCGAGAAAGAAAGCCTTTTTCCACAGATCCCCTATGCCTCCTTCAAGGGGGTTTACAGGATCTGTCAAAAAAGGCTTTCTCATCAGATCCCCCTCTAGACTGCTGCTTTTTGCCAACAAAGTGCTGAGTCCACAAAATGCGGTGGCCATTTTATGCAAATTAGGCACGGGATATTTAAATCCCTGCCTAATCGTCATGCCTCTGCCAACAGAGGGATGCGGTCTAGACATACCCTCAGAGTGTGTGTATTTCTAGCCCTAAATGGAGACTGCCCCCTTCAGTGGTCGGCATCTCAGGCTTGTGTGAGGGACACTCACTGGAATGCTGTTCCCGTCAAGCGTTTCCACCTGAGCCTTGCATCGCATGTGGTTGGGGTAAGGTCTGGGGGGAGTGGTCTTTCCAACTTGCTGCTTGGTTCTGTGATTCATTCTGCAACACACACAGCTGCGCCTGTTTGTGGCCCGGGATAGCCAGGGGAGAGGTGAGTCACCGTGGGGAGAAAGCAGGGGTCCGGGGCTGCTCTGGCTGCCCAGGGACGACGTTAGGGAGAGGAGGGGAACAATGGAGGTAGTTTTCCCACTTCACCTCTGCTTCGCACAACAGCCCGGGCTGGGCGGATCAACCCCCAGAAACGTCCCCCAGCTGCAGGAAGCTGCACTGCTGGCAGGGGCGGGGTGAACTTGGCAGGGGACTCTGGTGCAGGAGGTGAGTCTGTGGGGTGGATGCAGGGGGAGGCAAAGCTTGTGAGGGGGTTTGGGTCGGATCCAGTTGCACAGGGGCTGGGCAGGCAGGGCAGCTCCATACTGTGACCCTCCCTCTCCCACTTCCTGGCCTTCTCACAGGGAGGGCTCACTGTGTCTGCCCAACCCCTGTGCAGCTGGAGCCCTCCCAGCGAACCTCACTCCCCACATGCCCAGGATCACCTTCCTTGCTCGGGGCTGTGACCAAGCCCCGGGGCTCAGCAGTGTTTCGCTGAGCAGAGTCCCTGCCTGAACAACTGGGCGGGTGGAAGCTGACGTAGCTACAGCCTGGTGGCCGTGGATTACCGACTCCCCCGGGAGAACAGCTTCCGTGGGCGTAGGTAGTGGCCGTGTGCGCAGTGGTGCACTGCAGCATTTGAAGTGTGGACATGCTCTGGCTGGGCCTGCCATCTTGTGTGGAGTCCTGGAAGAAATTTCCTTTTAAAAAAGCTGGGTGACAGCTACCAAGAGCTGCTTGCAGTCCTTGGCAAACTGCACATGCACCCAAATGCTCTCCAGCTTCTGAAGGAGGCTGAGGGAAATCGTGAGGCTAGGCCGGAGTCCCCGCATGCAGAGACCGGCTCAGGCTCTCCTAAATGGCTACTGCTTGTGCTCTGGTCCAGACAAGCAGTCGGCTACAGCTTGTGGGAGCGGCTGGTTGAGGGCAACGAGAACAGGGTCACTCCACAGGGTCCACCTCATCCGTCGCTGCTCTGTCTTAGCTCAGCGAGGATCAACCGTGAGTGCACAAGTGCCAGCCTGTTCCCGCCTTGGTGTCTGGAGCAGGCGTGTGCACCGGAAGGCTGCTACTGCCTGAGGCTGAGTTCTCCAAGGCTGTAACCGGCAGAGTCCCCTCAACCAGACGCCTCTGTCTTAGCACTCATGACTCTTCTCTTTCTGCCGTAGCTTGAAGGACGCGAACGACTTACCAGTTCAGTGCGAAATTTCTCCCCTCGTCTCCTATGGTGGAGAAGTAAGTGGTTTTTTCTTTCTAGCTGACACCACATATGAAAAGGCAGCTTGGTGAGGCTTGGGGGTGATTGTGTGGGTTGTGCAGGTGGCCTGTCCTAGAGAGGGGGAGGAAGGTGTGCTTGAGACCCTCCTTTTTGGGAAGCCTGCCTGGGCCTCCTGCTCAGAGGGGCCTGACTCTGCCCCTGCCGGGTGAAGTCTGCTTTGTGTGTTTGCTGAGCAGGCTGGTGTGCTTTGGCCTCTGTAAAAACGTGGCCCCTTTGCCTGTTGGCGACATAGTGAATACAGCAGTGAGTCCCCCAGGTCACAGTGTGTCACGCTGTAACGGGCTGCATCAGTGTTCTGCAACACCATGCAGTGCATGATTAGTAGCTGAAGGGAGTATCCCTGGGTTCTTGGTGCAGATAGAGCCCTTGCTTTGAGCGGCATTGCTCAGCAAATCTGAAGCTGGCATTTCTTGGGTAGGGCCAGTTCAGTCCGCAGAACACAGTCCAGCTGCCACCCCTTCGATGGCTCCTTAGTCGGTGCACCGTACCTCTCCTGTCCCGTGCACAGGCAGTGTTTGCCAAACGTGGCTGAGGACTGGGCAGAGGGGCCCAGGTGAGCACGCTGTCTTTAACTGGTACCCTGAGCTCGTGTGGGTCACCCCTCTCCCAGCCATATTTGTGTAACTGGGTTGGTTGTTCCTCCTTGTGCTGGAGGACATCCCAGAATGCATTGCTGCAGATGCTGCTCTGCATACATGTCCTCAGAGCTGCGCAGACTCCTCCAGAACTCTGGAAAACCACTTGGGCGGCACAGCAGATGGGACGGCAGAGGCCTTGCTGTTTAGACCAATGGTTCTCAGCCAGGGGAATATGTACCCATGGGGGTACGTGGAGGCTTTCCACAGCAACTCCTCTACAGATTTGCCTAGTTTTAAAACAGGCTCTAATAAAAGCACTAGTGAAATCCGCACAGACGTACACTTCGTACAGACTCTGACGTGTTTTATTGCTTATCATACGTGTAATATTTATATGCCAGTCGATTTTATAATCATAGGCAAAAATGAGTCGGTCAGCAATTTGTCAGGACCAGTGTGCTGTGACGCGTGAGATTGTTCTGTCTGATTTTGTAAGCAAGCCTTTTTTAATGGGGGTACACAAGACAAATCAGGCTTCTGCAGGGGAGCCAGTCGTCTAGAAAGGCTGAGTCCCTTGTGTAGACAGAACAGAGCCTTGTATTTTATAACTGATTAAGATGATGGACATGATATTGCAGTTAAAAGTTACCATGCAGATGGGCCCAGAGATTAACTACTAAACCAAACCTTCCTGATTTGCTCTCCTCACTTGGTTAAGTATCTAGCTCCAGTCTGGAAGCAGGCAGAGCCTTGCTAATGCTGCCAGTTCCACTGGACTGGGGTCACCTGTTTCCTAACAGCTGCTCTTTTCTCCTTTTAGGGCCTGGAGAAGTATGTGGAAAACAAAGAATTTCACGCACCGTTGATCATTGATGAGAGCGGGATCCATGAGCGGGTGAAAAACTGTGTAGACTCTTTTTCAGGAAGCCAGCAGGCCCAGCATAGCTTGTGACGTTAGCTGTCAGACTGGAAATCCAAGGAAACGAAGGCTGTCACTGGAAATGGTGGTCCTGCCATTTGAACTCACTGGCTCGAGGCACATTGATGGCCTCTGTTTTAAGTTAAACAAACACTTTAGTCCAGCCCCTGCCAGTACATACAGACGTGATGTTTGAGCCATGGGCATTGATTTTAAATGTGTATAAAGTAGCAAATGTCCATGCAGAGGGCATTTTAGGGTACGAGGAGGGGCTCATCTTAAACGTTTTTTCTCAAATATACATGACTATTTTTAAAAACAAAATCTATGTAACTGTCCACACTCTGCCTTTTGAGAGTCGTCATTTTGTTAGCAAGTACGTCTGTGTTGGCTTTGCATATACCGCATTCCCAGGAATTGCGTGTATGGTATTCATGTAGCATACATGGTGTGTA